AGCGAACAAGATAAGCACAGCGGCAGGCTAGGGCCCAGGAAGCAAAGGGAAGATGCCAGGATCCTTCAGCACCGTGGACAGGGATGGAAAGCGCCTTTTTCCGGAGAGAGACCTGGGGTTTCGCCAGCTGCTTTTCCACCCGCTTTGCTTTGCTGACTTCTCTGGAGTAATTCTTGACTGACATCCCCATGCACAAGCGGAGAACCAGATCCCACCTCGCCAGGCCAACGCAGTGCTGACAAGTGATGGGATAGGTTGTTTGCTGGGAACGCTTGCACCTCGTGACGCCGCTCCTCCCGTGTGCAAGGTGAGTACGAATGCAATCCCTGGTGGAGGAGAAAAGGGTACTGCTATGGCAGCCAGTTGCCTTATTGCAAATAAGGTGATGGGAGGTGCAAGGCAGACCTGATAAGTGTGTATTAAAAGAGATGCAATAATTAAGATGATAGGAAAGTAGGGCTGGAAGGGACCACCCACTCTACCCTCCTGCTCAAGGCAGGATTGTCCCCGATTAAACCATCCCAGCCAAGTGGCTGTCAAAACCTGCTCTGGAAAATCTCCAGGGATGGAGATACCACAGCTTCTCTAAGTAGCCTGTTCCAGTGCTTAACTACCCTCCTACTCTGTGTGGTATGACTCACACCAATTTGGTACCCAGTCAGCGAGTAGTGCAAAGAGAGTAGAGTTTGATACTTGTCTCACGCCTGTTATCTCCCATTCCCTCTGATCCTTGCTGGCATGCATATGTGTTTTCACAGACCTGTGTTTTGCACGCGGGCTTCCACTCCACCCAGGAGAGCACGCAAAACACCAGCAGGCTCTCCCTACGCCTGGAGAAAGGTGTTTGTGCCTGAAAGCGTGCAAAAAACCCCAAGTTTTTCCAACTATTTAGTTGGTTTAATAAAAATTGTTCTTTACAAGCTTTCAAGCCCAAACACCCTTCTTCATATGCTTGAGACTCTCCCTATGCCCGGAGAAAGGTGTTTGTGCCCGCAAGCTTGCCAAGAACAATTTTTCCAACTACTTAGTCGGTCTAATAAAAGATACCACATTTACCCAAATAACCTTGTCTGACTTGGATGCTTAGGCATGTCTGATCTAAGTGCAGAGCATGGGTGAACCTTGCTCCTGTTGAGCTCCTTCGGCTGATGCCAAGAGCATCCAGAGCAGCACTTAAAACCCGGAGAGCTGAGAAGCATGCAACAAACACTCAAGTCACGATGAGCCAGTTCTCTGTTTTGCAGCTTTTCCCGATAGATCCTCCTCTCCCCCTAATTCCTGAGCCGTCAGCCTCCTTGGCAAGCAAGCTGCAGCCGTTTTGCACACTGAACCCTCGTTCAGCAGAGCACATAAGCACCCACCTCACTTCAAAAGAATGTGCTAAAGTCATGCCTGTGCTTAAGTGCTTTACCAAATTGGACGTAAATCCTGCCTAAATGAACAGCAGCACCAGCCCGAGGAGCACCATGCAACACAATGGCATTGCACCAGAGAGGAATTTGGCCCCCGGAAACGCGAATGCTATTTCAAGATCACCCTCACTATTTATTTTCTGTTGAGAAGGCTGCTATAAATGCAACTGACAGCAGATCCGAAACAAAAGGCCATCGATGAATAAAAGGAAGTTCCCCCAGTGCTAAATAAAGGAGGAGCCTGCAGCGTTTCTGAGGCTCAACCTGCTATTAGTGGAATTAGAAAGTCCCCTGAGAATCCTCTTCTCAGGCTCATGCCTACAGTTTCTTGGTACGTGGCCCTAAGCCCCAGAATTTCTCTCTTTACAACCTGCCCCCCAAAAAAAAAAGTGACATTGTTTTCCAGCCGCAATGCAAATTGGGCTCCGTGTAGCGCAGACCTTCCCCAATTACGTAGCAGTGTCATGGTAATGGGATCCAATGTAGGAAAATAATTAAAAAAAAAAAAAAAAATTAAAAGCCACATCATCCATTCAAATACCTTACTCCAGTATAAAAGAAACTCCTGATGAACAGGGGCATGATGTTTAAAGGGGTGTGGGAGAGCTGGGGGGGG